CAAGTTAGACATACCTCTCAGCTCTTCTTCACCGTTCCTCTAGTTAAAAAGGACATTGGCAAAAGAGCCTTCAAATTTAAAGCTCCTGCTGATTGGAATAACTTACCTGCTACCATCAGATCTCTCCCTACTCTGACTTTGTTCAAGCGTGCATTGTCGTCTCACCTCAAGGTTGAATGTTTTTGTATGACCTGAAGTACTTTATTTATTGTTTAAGGGTTGTTGAGGCTCCATCTTATTTCACCATCTCCTCATGAGATGACCCACCTATTGCCCATTTCTAAGTCTTTATTTCTAAGTCTTTATTGTTATGATTTTGTATATATAGTACAGCTACTCTACTTTACTCTACCCAATGATATGCATTCAATGTAACCGCCTATAATGTATTACCATGTGCTGTATGCTTAGGCTGAATGTTTGTAATTTCTTGGTTATTTCTTCCGATGTATGTGTGTGAATGTTGTTTGTATGTTGTACTTGTTTGTTATTTGTTTTCTTGGGACCCCCTTGAAAACGAGGTGATTCACCTCAAGGGGTTTATCCTAATAAAGAAATTTGAATATATAAATACATAATTGTATCTGACTTGCATGTGTTGCTGTAAACAAAATTAGCGTGCAATCTCTTTTCATTTATTTTCTTCATGTCCTTATACATGCATAAACTCAAAGCTTCTTTTTTATATTTCTATAAAGAGGCTTTTGTAGAAGTTATTATTCAGGAATTTGTCCTGATTTTAAGTTAGTGCGAGGTTCTGGAGTTGAAAGGCAGTTCATCCTTTTGTATTATTAAGATTTATCCGTTTCCCTTGCACAAAAGACTAATAATAACCAACAAAAAAACACTGGTAGCTGCAGTGAGCTAACCTTGTAAGAAAGGGGTGGGGACACTTTTCTTTTCAGATTCTCAAAGTGTACAATTCTTTGTGCACACCCTTTTTTTGAACATTTTTAACAAATGATCCTAATGCAAAGTGGAAGGGACAAAATGTTCCATTTCCAAAAGTGGAGCGGACATGTCCCCAGCGTCCCCAGTGTAAATGGTGATGGCCTATGGGAAGCGGCATCGGCTAAATTGTTGTTTTAAACACCGTTAATGGCTAAGAAACATACCTAGTCAGGGCCGGCTGGTGTCTGCTGCAACAGAAATAACAGTGTGCTGTGCAGCAGATGCAGGTGTCTGTGTGGAGTCTAAACCCTTGTCTCCCTCTCAGAAGTCTTTCCCCTACGTGTCATTGATGCTGGGGAACGGGACTCTGTCATATGACCACGATTCTGACGGACGGCACACTGAGCTGGGAGGATGCACGGCTATGGTGCGCAATGCAATCTACGACACGTCTCTCCTCGTCAGATACTCAAAAAACCGACTCAAGGTATGAAAGCCACAAAGTAAGGTGGGATTATCTTCACGTGTTGAATTTGTAGACATTTGTATTCATACATACATAGTCGTGTAGAAATAAAAACACACCACTAATATTGTGGATAGGTTTTCTATCCCAAGGATGGTCTTTTAAGTGAATCCATTATTACATTTGTGTTTTCCTGACTAATGTGTCTTCTATGTTGCTGTGTACAAAAGCGTCATGTTTTTCATGTAAACCAGTTAGGATGTTCACAAATCTAAATCTGCCCATCCATTATAAATCTTAGAAAGGTCATGGTTTCACTGCTGTTTATTTAATGATAGGCATTGTGTTTGGATTGTGATGTCAAATTATCATGTTAAAAGTTGAATCTTAGAGGTTAAGACATATATTAAAAATGTGAGGTTGTAACAATTGGCTTATATTTTAAACCTAGTTAGCAATAAAAGGTTTCAGGAGCTACTGGGGTTTTCTAAACCAGGCCAAGGGAGGGGCTGATAAAATGAATGTGTCCTCTAAATCAGGGGTTCCCATCCCCCGGGCCGCGGAGGTGTTACTGCCGGGCTGCGAAATAGCTGTGAGTTTATCGTAATATTTTTTTATCTAAAAATATCCAAGTTACTCAACGGCTGCCGAAAGTTAAGAAATATATTCTTAACCCCTGAGGTATTACCAACACTTAGCTAAACACTGCAAATCTAACCACATTTATGTGCTGTTTACATGAGAACACAAACGGTTGTATCCGCTACTTTTCTGATTCGTATAGCCCGTTCGTTTACACGAGGCCGTAACGGAAACGCAGAAACGGACCCCGCAAACGTTAACGGGCCCCAAGGTGGATAGATCTGCAAACGGAACGCTCTGGGGGGCAAACGGCTCTGCGTGTACGTCCTATACTATCATTTCCTGATGACGACGAAGCCATAGCCCCACCTCTTCTGCTCACTGCTGTAGCATCTGTAGCATGGTCAGTAGCTACTGCTACTGACCATGCTACAGATGTTAGTGCTACATCTACACAACCATCAGCAAGACATGGAGAATTACATGAACTACATGTTGCTAAATCTACCGCGGGACATAAACAGAAGGGGAACCATGCTCAGGGGTCTTCTTCGCTGATTTGGGTGTATTTTGTGGCGAAAGTACAGCGCCACTTACAGGCCCGGCATATGTACTACAGCGTCTCCAGCGCTTTCGAGCGGTCTCATGTGAACGGAAGACTTTTTGGATATCGTATTCGGTTCGTTTGTGTTTCGTTTGCATTTGCGTGTAAATGGGGTCTTACACAGTTCCCTCCAGCACACTGCTAGGCTATTTCTCCCTCTGGCTCCTAGCAAACAAAAGCTAACAAACAAACAATTCCCTCTCCCTTTGTTCCCAAGGGAAAACCTGGATTCACACCTGATTAGTGCCTATAGAGAGATGACAGGTCAAAGCAGGGGAGAGAGGGACACACTGCATACTGTAAACAGATGTTTTTTTACATTTGTCACACTGAGAAAACTGAAACATTGTCTTTAATACAAAATGTGGTTAGTTGAAAGCCATAATATTAAGTTTAAATAAACAATATTTGGTTCAGCTATATTATTGCTTTCAACTAACCTAAAACAGTTATGTGTAATCTGTTCACATAATACATTTAATACAAGTTTTTGTTTGAGTTTTTTCAGTGTACAAATTGTATATATAGATAACTACTAGCATAGGTTAATTCATTATGAGCCTTCTCCCCCTCCAGCTCATGGTGGACGTAGATGGTAAGCAGGAATGGAAAGACTGTGCGGACGTCACAGGATTCAGACTTCCTCCTGGATACTTCTTTGGAGCCTCCTCTGCCACCGGAGACCTGTCCGGTAAGAACTCTCAGGAATCATCTGAAGGATGCTCTCACATTGCGAACCTGTTTATTTACAGGTTAATGTTGCGCGTGTTGCTCTAGATAACCATGACATCATCTCCATGAAGTTGTACCAGCTGACAATAGAGAGGAGTCTTGAAGAGGAGCAGGAAGAAGAGGACGTGACTGTCCCCAGAGTGGACAACATGGACCAGTTCACAGGTTGGTGCACCTAGATTCCATACTGTAGCAACTTATTCCATCATATAAGTAGCTGATGACTTTCATTTGTGGTCTCTCGCAACTTCCTTTTTTTTGGTGTGATAATCAATATTAAAGCAGCAGAGACAAAAATGGCCTTTAAACCCTTGAATGAGTCCAGAAATGACCCATGTTGTAATTTGGTAGCCTTTTTCATTAGGCTTCCCCTTCTTCGGAAATGATAATGTTTCAGAGAAACCTTTAGACTTATTATAGAACAATATTATCATAGCTAAGTTACAAAGTACAAACAGGGATAGTTGTAGCTTGTACTGATAGAGGTGTGTTTATGGTGTCGAGTAATTACTCTTTTGTTTCCTTAAACAATGAAAGCATGATTTACTAAATTATAAATCACTAACATTTTAGATTGGTAAAAAAATCAAGTTCAAGATCATCAGGATGTTCTTAGACTTCAGAAAGATTCTACTGGAACCAGCAAAGACATTATAAAACTGATCTCCCTTCACTGAAATTCAGTTGTAAAATCAGTGGACCTTCCTTAAACTTTGGATGTAAAAACCCATTAAATAAATCCCTGTGATGGAGTGGTTCAGTGGGGATGGGTTTTTGTAGGCCGACCTGTAAATTGGCATCACAGTGGCTTCCTCGACAAAAAGCAAGGGGATCTTTTCATTCTATTTGGGATAATTAGAGAAAATAACATCTTACAAATGTATGATACTTTGAAGATAGTGATACTATGATTTTCGAAGCGTAATTACAATTGCAAGAAGTTCAAATCAAATCTCTAAAGGAACTTCATCCCTATCGCATGACTTCATGTCACCACTGCTAAAGGCGGCCAATGTTCGGCAAGATGTCATCTAGCAGTCCCATTTACACACTTGTTACCAACCTCCCTTCTATATGACGCAGTGTGAGAAAAAGTTTTTAGAGAGTACTTGTCCATGGACAAGTGAGTTTGGCAATTTACTTGTCCGAATACATTTTTCACTTGTCCAGAATGGACACAAATTGGGGCCACTGGAATCTTCTTCTTCTCCATCGTATTTTACATTTTGCCACGGTTTTACGACACCGCTAACGTAAGTGAGTGGTGAGATTTTACTGCATCACACATAGGGTTAGGTATCGTTTGGATTTTAACGATTCCGGTTCTGCTTTTCGATTCCAGTCATTTTCGGTTCTCGATTCCGGTTCTTTGAGAGGGTAAAAATAAGTCCCATGAAAAACTGGGAGAAAAATATATTTATGAAAACATTAAGTCAAATCTGTATTCCTATTTACAAATCACTTCATACTGTTTAATCTATTACGGTTATTGAATACAATTATATAAAAATAATCTCTGCATTGTTTAGTTAGTTTTAAGTGGTGCAGTTTGAGAATGTACAATTGGCCCAGTCTCCTCTGATGTTACACTGCAACCTGCCTGTGAGACAGAGTCCAACCACACATGTCCAACACATAGGCCTTATAATAATAATAATACATTATATTTATAGCCTATAGGCCTAGCGCTTTTCTACAACTCAAAGACGCTTGCACGCTTACACATGTCCTGCAATACACATGCTGCAGCTGCCCAGCTGCTCACTGTTTGTAAAAGTAAATAAATAGTATTTTCATTTCAATAATGTACTTTCTATACCCTGCTTCATAAACAATACTGACATCCCTGTGCTCCTCCGAGTCTGGGGGTCCGGGGATGTGAGGAAAGCGCTAGGACAGGGAGGCTGCTTCACTTCATAAATGAAATGGCGGTCAATATTAACAACACAGGAGCTAAAACGCTTAATAGCCTTCATTACGCGTTAAAGAAAGAACATAAGAAAGTTTGACAAAGATGAGGCTGTTAAACGGGCAGCAGATCCGCTGTGTGTAGAAAGAGAGAGAGAGAGAGAGACGCTGAGCCGCACCGTGCAGCGATCAGCTGATACGGAGCATAGAGAGAGAGAGCTGCGGTCCGCGGGGCTCGGCCTCCTGTCCTCACAACTCTTATCAATCCCGGGACCGGACAATTGTTATTTCTTGTTCCTACTCGGAACCGAGTTTTGCTTCCCAACTCTGCCACTGAACAATTGTCCGGTCCCGGGATTGATAAGAGTTGTGAGGACAGGAGGCCGNGGACTCCAGCTTCAGTCCACTGTCTTTGAAGCTCCCCCAAATTCTGGAAGCGACTCTTCTTCACAATGCTGTTAAGGCTGCGGTCATCTCTCTTGGTTGTGCAGCGTTTCCTGCCACATTTCCCCCTTCCAACAGACTTTTTGTGGATGTGCTTTGAAACTGCACTCTGTGAACAGCTTGCTCTTTGAGAAATTTCTTTTTGTGTCTTACCCTCCTGATGGAGGGTGTCAATGACGGTCCTCTGGACAGCAGTCAGATCAGCAGTCTTCCCCATACTTGTGATTTAGTTTACTGAACCAAGCTGAGTGTTTTTCAAGGCTCAGGAAACCCTTGCAGGTGTTTCGAGTTAATTAGACGATTCAAGTGATTCGTTGAACACCCTACTAGTATACTTTTTCATGATATTCTAATATTTAGAGATAGGATATTTGAGTTTTCTTAAGCTGTATGCCATAATCAGCAATATTAAAATAATAAAAGGCTTGCAATATTTCAGTTGATTTGTAATGAATCCAGAATGTATGACATTTTTGTTTTTTTAATTGCATTACAGAAAATAAAGAACCTTATCACAATATTCTAATTTTCTGAGACAGTCCTGTATATCAGTATGTAGTGTCTCTACTGAGATATGTCTCCATGCTTTAATGTTCAAAAAGCTCTTTATTTTTCTCATACTGCCTGTGCTGCAGCACCTCTTTTCACCCTCTGTCTGAAACCAGAGCCCAGCCTGCTCCGGTTGTTAGCTGGTCGGCTCTGTTGTGACTGGTCAACCGCTTAGGTATGCTTCGCCCATCACGTACAATGTTGGAGCGCTAGCTAATAGATGCATGAGTGTTACATAGTGATGTCACTATGTTACAAAAGTAAACAAAGGATTCGTTTCAGGCAGGTGGATGGGGGGAGTGGGAGACAAACTCCCTCTGGAGGGGACACAGGGATTTTAACCATATACATGCACAAAAACTATACAACACACGACTAGAGGAAAAGGAAACCCTAAAAAGTAGGATAGGGCCTCTTTAAAGTAAGTGGGAGACCAGCAGTGCAAGATGGAAAACAGCTTTTTGGAAAAGTACAGTTTTAAAAAATCAGACATCAAACTGTATGAAGTAAAAATGTTCCAAATGACTCGAGGCGTTAATCAAATCAAACCCCTTGTCATTATATTGGATATAAACACTGTATGCTGTTGTATGACGGTTCCTACCTTGCGGCTGTACACCAGGAACACACAGGCCATGGCCAGCTCCACCAGCATCAGGACGAACAGCAGGACGAAAAACTGGAGTAGTGTAAATCACATTTAACATGGTTTATCCTTTAATATTTTGTTTGCAATGTGCATATAAAAGCAAATGTGTATAGAATGAAACCTTCAATACGATAAAGTCTAAAAATAAAAATGTTTTACTATAAATTGTTATGCTAAAATGTGCGTGATAGACGAACTCAGAAGATTTCTAACAAACATCAAGTATGATTATTGTGAAATGGCAAGAGGGCTGGGAAAAGGACTCTATCATTTTTCTTTTTGTATTATCTTTCACACAATTTGTATCTGTATATACATTTCCCTGTGAGGGCGACTAGAAAACACTAAAAAGATTGTCACAAAATAGTGAAGAGCTTTGATTGTGTAAATCAGGCCTGCTCACACTGATAAGCATGCAGCGGTTCTCTTTCATGCCTCCTAACATTCCCAGGTAACACACACAGGTCACGATGGTGCCGGTGACCACCAGTGTGTTGGCGGGGTAGATGGGCCAGAAGGAGGTGATGAGGGAGGCAAACTTGGAATTAATCATCTGGAACTCCCCGAACGCCACCACAAACGCACCGCACAGCTGCAACACACAGACACACCTTCTTTTTTTGGTATGATTGTACATTGTGAATTAAATTACAGAACAGTACAGCTTAAAAAGATGAAACTAGATCTGACCCTTTAAAACAAACACTATATATGCTCTTTTTAGTTTACTAACATTACTACAACTTTTTAATATATAAATGTTAAGGAATAGAGTGACCATATTTTGTATCCTAATTACACAATCTTGTTAGATGGAATTTGTTACTCCCAAAGCTGGGTGTGAACTGCCAACCGAATGCTAGCTGATTTTCTTTTCTTTGGATTTGTCAGTTTTTGGGGCATGTTCAATGAGGTAGTCTGTGAGAAACCTAACTTGATTCCTTCTGGCTTTATCAGGTACATTATTCTGTTATGCAGTGGTGGAAGAATTACTAAGATGTGTTACCAAAGTAAAAGTAGCGATAATTCACAAGTTTATTACAAGTAAAAGTCCTGCATTCAAAGTACAAAATTACTGTACTTTTACTCAAGTACTCCTTTTGAGTAATGGCCTATTTCAGAATCGTATATATGCCGTACTGGTTTACTATTATGTTTATTCATGTGTTTTTATCCCAACTGGTAAACGAAGAGCTAATTTGAATAACTTGATATACTGCTGTTAACCTATAAATATACAGTATGTGAAAGTTTACTTAAAGGTGGGGTATGTAATTTATTTCAGAAACGCTTTTTGTTATATTCCATGGAATACTCTTAACATCCCGATAGCAATGAATATATGAAATGCTTTGACAATAAATACATTAAAAAAATGTCATCTGTGGAAGCCGTAGTACTGTAAAAAGCACGACCAATCATCTGAGCCGGCCCGGCTAAAGTAACTGGATGGCCTACCTGCCTTTCAGCCTTCCATCTGTGCACAAACTTATCTCGTGCCCTCATTGGTCATGTGCGCGTTTGTGTGTGTTGGAGGAGGGGCTCTGTAAGGAAGTCTGAAGGAAGAGGCAGATTTTTTTTGGCTAGGTAGTTTCTAATTCTAGCGGGTTTCTCCAAAATTACATACCCCACCTTTAATCATTGATTTAGATTTTGAATGTATAAGTAAAAGCTGTCAAATAAATGTGGTGGAGTAAAAACCTTTTACTAAAAAGTACATTATTGGTTTATAAAATTAGAAGTATATAGTAGCCTAAACTGTTAAAGTACAAGTACCTCAAAATTGGACTTAAGTACATTACTTGAGTAAATGTACTTTTTTACTATCCACCACTGCTAATGTGTTTTTTCATGTTGATGCACTGTATGTGTGAGCATCTGTAACATTGTTCAGCCCTCTATCGACCTGCTGTAGGACTTTTGATGCGGAGGTCGGTGGTAGTTGGCAGTACACCGTCACTCAGTGCTGAAGTCACCCTTAGTTGGCCAGCTCATGTTTTATATTCGTTCTCATACAACCTGAGGAGCCAGGTGTCAGCAAGACATCCTAAAGTGTCCTAAAGGTCTTCAGAATCATCAGATGTTCTACCACAAAAAAATAAAAAGGCCCACACCAAAAATGTGGGCCTGGGCTGAGCTTCAGTCCTGGTCCAACCCTGGTAATAGCTGCAGTGTGGATGGGACGTTAAGCACCTACCCAGCACAGGAAGTTGAGACTTAGCACCAAAGACTTCAAGCAGTTTACACACGAGCGATTCATCCTTCCTGATAATCCTCTCTGTAAGAACTGCAAAAGTTTTGAAAAAATACAAGTTAGACAGATTTTGGATCAGTCGGTCAGATATCCTGCAAACCCCGAGCAGGAGTAGCCTACAAGTGAGGCAGCGGCATGATGGCCGGTGTTTACAGGACACCTCTGTTTGATATGGCAACACTGAGCCATGAGGCACAATGGCCCATGTGACCTATTCGAGCTCCATTTAATCATTATTACCTGCTCTTATCTCCTATTTGTTGCAAGTTTGCCCTGAATGTGTGAGAATGTGGTCAGTACTTGATACTAATACTACACTACCCTACACTCTTATACAACTCCCACACTGACATGTTGTTCAGAAAAAGGTTGTTCTCTTAAATATGTCTTCTTTTTGTCACAGTAGTTTTTATATGAAAGCTGAGCTACCAGTAGGCCTATAGCGTAAATACCTTCACTACTGAATATCATTTACATCAATTGTATGTTCTTTGCTTCAAATGAAGGTGTTTGCTTACAAACACATATTACTTAAAACAGTTACATAGTGCTATACCTGATTTTACAAGTGATTCAATATCCGAGGGCTTACCTTAACTACAGTGTGTCCAGCAGTGTTCCAGTGACAGATGCAGGGAGCAGTACTTTGGTGTTGTTCCTAACATTCCCAGTGTTAACTGACGACAGACAGGTATGAAGAGGAAGAGGGAAAAGAAGGAGGAGGAAAGACAACTGAGGCTGCTGTCTACCAACTGGCAGTAAGAAATATCTTCATGATCAACAGTGAAGAGGAGGGAGGGGCGTCCACACAACCATAACATTGAAGAGCAGCCGCGGAGAGAGAAGTCAGGTTTTCATTAGTGTGGCTTTATAATCACATTGAGTAAGACTTCTTACACAACTATTTAGACTTATACAAAAATAGTATCTTAATCGAAAGAGAACCTGCGGGCCTCTGTCTGTTTTCTTTTATTTAATATAAGAGCCATACAAGATTATGCTTTTTGTGGTTTCTCCTGTAGTGTGTTATTTGGGTTTTAGTGCATGTAAATGGTCTGCAAAAAAAGACTAATGTCACAGCAGGATTTGGAAAAACGTGTCCATGCTTTTATCTTCAGTAGACTGGACTACTGCAATGGTGTCTTCACAGGTCTCACTAAAACATCTATTAGAAAGCTGCAGCTGATTCAGAACGTCGCTGCTCGAGTCCTCACTAACACTAAGAAAGTGGATCACATCACTCCTGTTCTGAAGTCTTTACACTGGCTTCCTGTGTGTCAAAGAATAGATTTCAAAATACTGCTGCTGGTTTATAAAGTTTTTAATGATTTAGGCCCAAAATACATTTCTGACCTCCTGCTAAATGATGAACCATCCAGATCTCTCAGGTCTTCAGGGACTGGTCAGCTTTCTGTCCCCAGAGTCAGAACTAAACATGGTAAAGCAGCGTTTAGTTATTATGCTCCAAATATCTGGAACAAACTCCCAGAAACCTGCAGGTCCGCTGCAACTCTTACTACTTTTAAATCCAGGCTGAAGACTTATCTTTTTGCTGCTGCTTTTAATTGAACTATTCACATCTTAAACTGCAGTGTCACATTTATTCATGTATTTTATACAGTGTTATTCACGTTTTATGTTTATTTTATTATCTTTCCTTTTTAATGACGTTATTTTAAATGTCATTTTATAACGTGTTTCCGCTGAACAATTAGTTAATGCTCTTAATGTCATTTATTTTTGTAAACCACTTTGAAATGGCTTGTGGTGCTATATAAATAAAATTGTCTTGCCTTGCAAATCCTAAAATCCATGCGTTTCATCATTCTATCCCACACACACTTGGGAATTTACTCCAGGTGGAACTAAAGTCTGAATTAAGAGTTGATTAGATTTCACATCATTCATCCAGATCTGTAAAAGTAACTAAAGGTAATAATTACATTTAGTGGAGAAGAAGTACAAAGTAAGTTTAGTACAAGTCCCTCAAAATGTTACCTAAGTACAGCACTTGAGTTGATCTACATCGTTACTTTATGCCACTGCCGGCCAGCTAACCAATCAGAGCAGACTGGGCTCTGGTTTCAGACAGAGGGTGAAAAGAGGTGCTGCAGCACAGGCTGTATGAGAAAAATAAAGAGCTTTCTGAACATTGAAGCATGGAGACGTGTCCCAGTGGAGACACTACATACAAATAGGAAACTGATAATTAACATATGTCCTATTTAAAAAACATGAATAAAGTATTGATTCAAACAGTTGGAGAGAGAGAAAGGAAAACAAAACGAGTCTCAATAAAAACCTTTACTGAAAAATTAAGAGCTCTTGAATCACAGTTTCTTCTGACATGGGTTTGTATATATAGCATCGGAAGCAGAATTGTATTGAGATTATTTATCAAATTATCCATTTCAAGGTTGCTTGACACAATTTAGACGATGACCATGGTGAATGGGATCAGTTAGACACAAACTGAAGAACAAAAAGCACCTACTAATCTACAGATAAGTAAACCATTAACCCTTTGAGAGTGACGACATTATTAAAACCTGTCTGCAAAACTTAAAGAAGCAGGTTTTTTGGTGCAGTTCTAACCAAGCCTGACAATACAAATGTATCTGCAAGAACACATAAGATTGAAGAGTTAAATACAAATATCCTGCCAAAATGTGAGTGTTGGGAGCTGAACGCTTTTTGGTGCAATGGCCAAACAATAAAAGCTGATTACATTTGAATTAATTGAGTGCTGGTGCTCTGTTTTAAGCTACTTGTTCTTCTACACGGATTAACACACAGATCAAATTTGACAGTAGTTAGACATTGAATGGGCGTTGTGCATTTTTCAGTGCAGTAGTCAATGAAGCCAAAGAACTCAACAGGAAGTAAGACTGGAACAGAGAGTGAGAGCTAGGCACTTCCTGTTTCAATAGCAGTCCTTTATAAACAGCTAACAAAATATGTTATCTTAAATACAAGGGAGCTTTGAGTCCAGCTAGAGGAAGTGCTGAATGATCCACAGGGTTGTTGGTCTGAAGTCAGATTAAAGCTGCGTGATGGCAGCCCCGAGTGGCAGTGAGAGGTCACTACGCGACTGCAGAAACTCCTGTCAGAGGATGTGAACTACACACAGCGTTTGGGATTTTGAGGTTCACGTTTGTCTCTTCCTGTAGGCAACATCAGAAACTCATAGGATTATTTTAAATGTACAGCATCTCGGTCAGTGCTTGAGATGAGCATATTCCAACACAAAGCAGCTTTGTCTCATCAATCTTCCATAACACACAAACATTTCACAGCTGGCTCACATGTTCGCGGCAGTTTATGTTCTCGTGGCTCTTGGCCTCAGACCCAACAGTTCGTCAGATTTTATGGTTCAGTAAAGCTATGGCATTCTGGGCATTGTTTTTAGTGGATGTTGATTAAGAAACAGACGCTTGCTCTCTGATCAATAGAAGCGCTTGCGTCGGTTTTCCTTCCAGCGGCGGTAAACAACGAGCCCTACGACTGCCAGCACCCCCAGGCCCAGGATGGAGAAGAGGACGGTGAAGAAGAACTGGACTCCGCTCATGCTTTCCTCCTGGATCTCCACTGTAGAGAAACAGCACCAAAAAAAGCTGTTAGAAATTACACAGGTGTTCAATTTACCTTTGTAGTTCTCCCCCATTAAAGGGGGAAACTATAGAACACCTGGCCCTTGTCCCTTAATGGTGGGTTTAAGGTCCGGACAATGATATTTAGTTATCCTACTGCACAAAAAAAAATGAAACGTTGAACTTAATTAAATGTATTATGTCAACAAATTTCACATAACTATCAGGTAAGATGAAAGCAATAATATTAAGTTAAAGTGTGTTGGCATCATGCTGAGAAAGAAACTGAATACCTAAAGTTTAGCAGATTCTGAACAGCAAGTCTTCTAGAGACACGGTTACCAAATAGTGGTGCAGGAATGGCATGTACAGCATGTTTTGCCACATTTATTGTTGACATGTATGTTTAGTGTTTCTTTTCTTTTTGTTCTGTTATAACGCCTTGTGCGGAATGCTTTGGCAATGCTATGTGTAATATGTGGTCATGCCAATAAAGCCCCTTTGTATTGTGTTATATTGAAAGAGTCCTAAGACTGAGAAAAGAGTTAGCATTCTACTGTGTTTGGTTTCAGTTGTCTAATGTTCACGTTTTGTTTGATGCAGAAGAATGTGTCAGTAAATTCCTCACTAGTGAATGTCATAAGCTTTTATGCGTCACAGTGTGCGAAAAAGTACACGTCCCACCGTCCGGGACGTGTTATTTACAATATCGGACAAGTAGATCTTTCAATTGACTTGTCCGGCGGACAAGTGACGTTTTTCGCCCTGATTTATTGAAAAATTATTGATAAATTCAGTTTACAAAAGGCAGAACTCATTCGCAAATTGTACGTGTCCACCATTGTTCGTTTAGAAATGTTAGTTTCGGTTCTGCTTGTCGATTCCTAAGGAAATGCATCTCGCCGCTTTCTGTAGGCTACAGTTAGACGGGGGCGGGGCGGGAAGTGTAGCACAGTGGCAGAGTTGGGAAGCAAAACTCGGTTCCGAGTAGGAACAAGAAATAACAATTGTCCGGTCCCGGGATTGATAAGAGTTGTGAGCAGTGCTTGAATTGGGCCGGTACTCACCGGTACGCAGTACCGGCACTTCTGATTTTTACCCATGTGGTACCGGCACTTCTTACTGAGTACCGGCAAGGTGCCGGTACTCAGTAAAATGCCGGTACTCAGCCGCCGGCAATATACGTATATATTGTAAACGCAACACAGCGCAAATGTGGGTCTGACTCTGCCTCACAGAGG